TGCCTTGTGGCTTATAAACTGTGCCATTTTCAATTCATTTTTGGTTTTCAAAAATCTAAACCCTCATTCAAAATTGAAATACAAGGCATTTCTGCTGAATGTGGCAAAAGCCTGGGCTACAGACCACACGGTGGCGACAGACACACTCTTAGTATGAACGGGGCCATCTACTCCTACCCCACGCAGGCCTCATTTTGACCCCCCTGGGTGACTCTCGGGTGATATGTGGAAACATTCCCTCGCGAAAATTGTGAAGAGTGAACATTTAAAGGGGAAGCAGCCTTCTAGGCAATGCCATGTTTGCACAATTCACAAGAAAAGGAGTAGGACTGCCTACATTTGCAAGTTTTGTGTAATGCCACTTCACAGAGGGGAATGTTTCGAGAAATATCACACCCTCAAGCACTTCTAGAAGCATTGGTAAGCGCTCTCCAAAAATTTTACTCCATAAAATTAATTACGAGATTTTATATTAATTTTTAAAGTGAACAGTGCACAAGTTAGGGTAGTAGGTATAAAAATTCCGGTCCGCAGGGTGATTTAAATATTTAAATTGCTGGTCCGCAAAGTGTTAATGCTAAATTCAATATAGTGTATTCTCCTTACACTAACTCTTATTCTTCAATGTAATACTATCCAACTTGGGCTAGCATTAACACTGTTATACAGTGGGAAATGTTTACCATATCTGGGGGTTAACACATGCAGCAGAAGTAATTAGTCACTCTTAGTTCCATTCCTCAAAAGCTTTTATGATCCAAATATTATACTTTTTTATATAATACATACATACTTACATACAGTTCATAAATTTTATTTAATGCATATTATATAATTTTAATTATTTTAAGTACTAAATGTTTGTTTAATGTTTATTTTATTGTGTTTCCACTGGCTGTATATAACACTTGTATTTTAGGCCACAGATGAAATAATTTTACAGCACCGAAGTTGGGGCCAAGATAATTATATAAAGCTGTTTAGATTAATATGTAAAATTAAACTAAGTTCAAAATATACAACACAATAATTTCACTCATTTAGTTTATATGATGTGAAGAAACTTGGTCTCTCACCCAGATTGTAGGAATACAGATTAAGCATACTGAGAAGGATATTTGGAGATATGAGAAAAGGAGTCCATAAGGGCAGAGAAAAAGGCAATGGAGGAACTTATTAATTTGTACTCTTCACTGTTTTCTGCTGGACTGATCAAATCGTGAATGGGATGGACAGGTCATGCAGAATGCACGTGGGAAACAAGAAATTTGAATATACAGAGTGGGGTGCAGAAACTTCCTTTTTGTGAAGATGCATTGTGAAGGGAGGGGAGGTCACAGAAAAGTGGGGATAGGCTTGGCGAACGCAGTACTCGCGGAAGTTTCTGTCTAATACCCCTCTGTAGGAAACATGAGGTGGACGAGTGAGCAGCGTGCATTTGCTGTCAAAGCCTATTTTTCGAACAAGCATTCCTATGTGGCGGTGCAGGGTGTGTTCCATACTCACTTCGGAATTAAGCCCAGAGATCCGGTTTCCGACTGGAAATCGACTGTCTTGTGGGTACAGAACTTTAGGACAACTGGGAGTGTAGTGAAAAAATCATCAGGACAACAACGGACCGTTACGACACCAGAAAATGTGGAGGCAGTTTGACAGTCGATTATGAGATCTCCAAGATGCTCCGCTCGCAAACATGCAGTCGCCCTAGACATATGCAATCGTTCAATGTGCCGAATTCTTCACGAACACCTTAATTTCCATCCCTATAAGATGGTTGTTGTGCAAGAATTGTCACAATGTGATTTCCAGAACCAAATCACGGCATGCGAAACGTTATTGGAAACTTTACCCCCTGACGCACTGGTTTTCTTTAGCGATGAGGCATATTTTCACGTATCCGGATATGGCAACAAGCAGAATATGCACTATTGGAGTGGTAACAATCCCAGAGAGCTCCATGAGAGGCCACTTCAAAGTGATAAGGTGACAGTATGGTGTGCGCTGTAGAGAGTTGGGGTTATTGGCTCTTATTTTTTTGAAGAAGACCATCATGCAGTTACTGTCGATCCACAGCGGTATGTGGACATGATTAAAAACTTTTCGAACCAGCTCTTGAAGAAATGCATCTAGGAAATGTCTGGTTCCAACAGGATGGTGCCACGGCCCACACAGCCCAAGCTTTGATGACAGTTTTGAGGGCAAAGTTCCCGGACGGCTCATCTCGCTTTGAGGTGACATCCCGTGGGCAGCGCACTCACCTGATCTAACACCCTGTGATATTTTATGGGGATACCTCAAGGCAGAGGTTTTTAAACATCGCCCCACAAACCTTCTTCTGCTGAAGAATGTTATTCGGCAGGACATAGCCCAAATTCCAGTGCACATGTTGGAGTGTGCAGAGGGGAACTTCAGAAAATGGTTGCATCAGAGCATAGAGAACAGTGGCCACCACCTTCAAGATATTTTGTTTAAAACTATATGATTTAAAACTTTAAAGTATGTTCTTTCATTAGCTAAACATAAATTTTGTCTATCATCAATAATTTTTCTTTTATTTGCCTTCAAAAAAAGGAAGTTTCTGCGCCCCAATCTGTATAATTTTAGCTGGAAAACATGAAGATTAGAGACCATTTAGGTAACCTAGAAATAGGTAGGATAATATTAAAATAGCTCTAGAGAAACAGGGTGTAAGGGCATCGACTGGATTCATCTGGTTCAAGGTAAGGTCTATTGGCAGACTCTTCTGTACATGGTAATAACCATTCTGGTTCTATAAAGGAGGGAAATTTTCTGACCAAATGAGTGGATAGTAGCTTTACACAACAGAATACATTACTTGTTCCTCATTAACTTAAAATTAATCCTGATGTCAACAAATTCATGTGACTGTCAAATGCTGTGACAGGCCACTGGCTGAAATACTACCATTACAGAAAACGAGATAGTGCAAAATCTGATTATTTTGTCACATGGTTCCAAGATGTAACTAAATTCAAGTTAACTATTAAGAAAATATTTCATTAAGTACCTAGAAATAAAGCTTTCTAATAATGTAATAATAATTATATTGGTCAGTTCCTAGAATTGTGCAGAAGTGTATGGGCATGCCCATCACTACAAAATTCCACTTGATTAAACAAGTTGATAATGGTTTTTCATGGTGGAGGCAATCGCAAGTCCATCAAATGAAATCGTACTAAAGGTACATCTTTGAAGAGCAATAACAGGCAAATCATACTGTACTGTAGTTAGCTAGAAAGTAAATCACAGAACTGACAACAGAAGTCAAGAGTGTTTCCATATTAAGGTTTTAGCTGTGTGTAAAGAAAGACAAGACACCAATAACTCAACAACTAGCAAGAAAGGGAAAAGAGAAAAGAATATCCTCAGACAATGAGACAGTTCTCTTAAAACATCTGTCCATTCTAAAATATGTAAGTTTTTATGTAAAAGAAATGCCTACTTAGACAAGGTCTGTGAACAGTAATCCCAATTTTCCACTCTTAAAAAAGAACAGTGCTCTGGTAACTTTTACAAGATACAGAGTTCAAGTTTCAGAAGACAAAGATGTTGACTGTTATCGCTAATAGAGGAAATATTATTTTATGGAGAAGGCATTACTTAAAATTAGTGTATCAATGCAGAAAACAAAATAGAAAGTTCTACTACTTTGATAAAATATGGGGAAACAAGTGCCATGTTATGAACAAAGTTTTGGTTGATTCAACCCCCCCCCCCAAAAATAAAAACATTTCTATTGGGAATCTCTACCAGAATAAAAAAATATCTAGGGTAGAGATAACAGACTAATTACTCTTCAAGTTGGCAGTAATGGGGACACATGATAGCATAGTTGGTTGAGGCATTACGCTACAAGCCAGAAGGTTGCGGATTTTATTCCCGATGTCACTGGATTTTACAATTGAAAATAATCCTTTCAGCCGTACTATGGACCTGGGGTGTGCTCAGCTTCTAACAGAAATGAGTACCAGTAATTTTCCTGGGGGGTAAAGGGCGGGCGGTGCGAAAGGCTCACAATATTACCGCCCTCTGTCAGCCAACTGTCTAGGAAATGTGGGAGCCTTGACATCTCACAACCCTATGGGCCTTCGCGTCCTGTTACAGGGATAATGTTATATCTCAGAAGTGAACTGCTAGATGGTGTGCACACGAGTGATGAGCTTGGGACGAGAGAGAACAAAAGGCTGATGTGTGTGCACGTGAGCAGTTTCAATTATTCATAATATCTAATGGTAGAAGTAACAAATAGAACTCAAGAATGTGAAACAGGTGTCATTTTCTATTAGTATTTCAATGGTAAGATACAACAGATAGCCTTACCTTTTTTTCTTTTTACTGGCAGTAATGATATATTTGTGGAAGACTGCCCCCATATGTCATGAAATGAACCCTACAGAGCTGATGTGGAGCCAACTGAAAGGATACTGTGGCTAGACATAAAAAATTTCAAACATCAAGAGGAATGCCAACTACCAACCAGGAGAGGTAACTGCTAAGAAGCGGCTAGATGCTAGTCATCCCGTAACCCATGAAGAGCAAAGGATGTGGGAAATTTGATGCCCTTACTGATAACGTAGTGGACCAACTTGTTATAAACAATGAAGGTGACAAAACTTCCAGTGATGTGTTTAATTCAGCCTCTGACATAAATGCACTACCTGATGGTGACTACCTGTCCTTTAAGTCCAGTATATGAGATTTGCTGCCTTTATAGCAAAAAAGGCTTAATATGAAGTCTACTGTATGGTACTGGGCAGAGTTTCACAATGTGAGATAAGTGCACAAAAAGTATGCCCGTCACAGCAATTTCAGGCAGAAAGGTATTCATCCCCATATCTGCATCAGGATTAATGTTACAGTAAAGCTAAACCATTAACGCTAGAACCTCTTTAAATTGATTGACACAGCCTGGTCTTCCTGCAGATTCTTCAAACTAAACTTTATATTCTCAAAGCAGTGACTATGAGAACTACTGGATGTGGCACCATACTGCATGGCGGACATTTACCAACCTTTTGGAGGAACCTGCTGTCTCCATTTTCAGAATAAATGTACACTGAAGGTGGAGGCAGCATATCCCTCGTAATTCTGGTAAATATATACCATCCTACATGGCATCACATCCAAGAAAATAATAAACTTCACCATCAGACTTACTGTACAGTCTGTTTTACCAAACATAAGTTCTGCAACAACTGTTTTAAAACAATATAAAAAATAAGTACTTCTATAAATACTATACTGTGATGACTATTACAGATTCTGACACGTTACAATAATGACCGCTAGATGCTGCACCACATCTTAAATTTATGATTGCAAGTATTTAAGAGAAGACAAGTCACAACGAGAGATTCTGAATGCAGATGAAAACATGCTGAGGGCCTTATATTTCTTATAAGAGTAGCTGTTAAAGCTTTCCTTTCTGGCCCAAGCCAACTTGGGACACTTCTTCTCCTTAACATTATGAGTACAGAACACTCAATCACAGGCCAGCAATTTAACCAGATCCACTTCTTCCACCGGAGGAATGATAACCTTAAACCAACGCTGTATGGCTAGTTGTTCCTTGCTATTACAGTGCATAGACTGTGACTGATCTTCCCTGCAATATCACATTGTTCCCAAACAATAGCACTTGTGTTTGGGTACAAAGAAGTGCTATGCCACAGCAGCCGACAGGTGTGGTTTCACAGCCCATCTTGAAACTGGCTTAGTCACTTGGCTCACGAACAGCCAATTCTGAAAAAAACGAAACACTTGTTATGTTCATTAGTTTAATGTTATTTTGTATTATCTTAATGCATATTCATGTCACGTAAACAAACTGAACTGAGGGCTGAAATATGCTGACCTATTCTGGTGATGACAGCTATTTTTGGAGGTGTGCAACATGACTGGATGAAAGCAAAATATTTATTTAACCCTTACCAAATCACAAAAATACACTAAAATTCTTAATCTTGTCCATTTTTAGCCAAAACTTCAAATTTTGGGGGACTTTTTCTTTTAGTCATAGCAGCACGCACAGCAAGAAGCCATCTCCTGTCATTTAGGATCACTATAAGGAATTATAATAAGAGGAATGTAAATGAATGGAAGATTATGGAATATACACTGAGAGGCAGGAAGGCACTTATGGCAAATGCACAACATACTGTGTATGAAAAAAGCAGGAGCAACGGACAACACACACCTACACTAGAGACAATTCTGAAGCATTCATTACTAAATCCAAATTAATTTTACAATTGTACTGAGTAGGCAAAATAAAATGTGACACTGATGGGTTAACCAAGTACAGAACAAAATTATACCTTATTTCCTCATATGCCAAATGCATGCTTTTATTTACAAAGAAAAATAACCTAAAACTGATGTATGCAGCTTATTAGTGACAAGACTGGCAATGGTACATGGTTCATCTGTGAGGAAAAAAAGGAAAGAGCACAAATTGTGAACCTACTTTTAAGTGTCATGTGTTATCTGGGGCACATTCCTGGATAGTTGCTCGACACATTGGACATTCTGCCAGTTGCATCACACAGGAGGAACAAAAACCTTTGTGACCACAAGGCACCAGTCGCACAGACGCCCTCTTATCAAAGCACAGAGTACATGAGTCCTCGCGAACACTAAGCTTCCGTAATTGTTCTAGGTGGATGTGCCTGCCAGGAAACAGAAGAGAAATAACTAAAACTCATTCTGAGAAGAAAGCCGTCTTCTGGGATGTGGCGCCGTGTAGAAATTGTGTTAACTGACGTTTCAGAGCAATGTATCTACACAGCGTCACATCCCAGAAGATGGCTTTCTTCATAGTCACCGCCATGAAAACCTGAAATCTTACATAAAACTAATTCTGATTCATGAACAAATCATAAATAAATTAAATATTTTGATAAATAAAGATCTTAAAACAATGTATATTAGTACAATTAAAACATTTGGATCCAGAGGTTATAAAGTGTCAGATCAGATATATTTAGCTGATTATGAATGATGAATCAGGAAGGATGTCAGAGAGGACGTGGTCATAATCTATTTAAGGTACTATCCCAACCTTTGTGTGTGGAGATACTGAAGAAAACCACGAAGAGCCTAAAATCGGGATAGCCAGCCTCTGGTCTAAGACCTGACTCCACAATCTTCCAAATACAGGGTAGGGCACAGAAACTTCCTTTTTGTGAAGACGCATTGTGAAGGGATGGGAGGTCGCAGAAAAGTGGGGATAGGCTCGGCGAACGCAGCAGTCGCGGGAGTTTCTGTCTAATACCCCTCTGTAGGAAACATGAGGTGGATGAGTGAGCAGTGTGCATTTGCTGTCAAAGCCTATTTTTTGAACAACCATTCCTACGTGGCAATGCAGCGTGTATTCTGTACTCACTTAAGAATTAAGCCCAGAGGTCCGGTTCCCGACTGGAAATTGATTGTTTTGTGGGTAGAGAACTTTAGGACAACCTGGAGTGTGGTGAAAAAATCATTAGGATGACAACGGACCGTTACAACACCAGAAAATGTGGAGGCAGTTCGACAGTCGATTTTGAGATCTCCAAGATGCTCCACTCGCAAACATGCAGTTGCCCTAGACATATCCAATCGTTCAGTGCGCCGAATTCTACACGAACATCTTAATTTCCATCCCTATAAGATGGTTGTTGTGTAAGAATTGTCACCACGTGATTTCCAAAACTGAATAACGGCGTGCGAAACGTTATTGGAAACTTTACCCCCTGACGCACTGTTTTCTTTAGCGATGAGGCACATTTTCACGTATCCAGATATGGCAACAAGCAGAATATGCGCTATTGGAGTGGTAACAATCCCAGAGAGCTCCATGAGAGGCCACTTCACAGTGATAAGGTGACAGTATGGTGTGCGTTGTCCAGAGTTGTAGTTATTGGCCCTTATTTTTTTGAAGAAGACAATCATGCAGTTACTGTCGATCCACAGCGGTATGTGGACATGATTAAAAACTTTTTCGAACCAGCTCTTGAAGAAATGCATCTAGGAAATGTCTGGTTCCAACAGGATGGTGCCACGGCCCACACAGCCCGAGCTTTGATGACAGTTTTGAGGGCAAAGTTCCCGGATGGCTCATCTCGCTTTGAGGTAACATCCTGTGGACGGAGCACTCATCTGATATAATGCCCTGTGATTTTTTTATGGGGATACCTGTTCTCAGTGTTTGACCCATCAACAAGAAGCTTTAACCTATCCTTAAACTGAATCAGAACCTTCCTAGGACTAGCCCTCATCCCAACAAGAACATGGCTAATCCCCTCCTGATACCTACTATTGTGAAACACGCTATTAACAAAGCTACACAACGAGTTCAAAACCCTCCTAGGAGAGTTGGGGTTATTGGCCCTCATTTCTTTGAAGAAGACAATCATGCAGTTACTGTCGATCCACAGCGGTATGTGGACATGATTAAAAACTTTTTCGAACCTGCTCTTGAAGAAACGCATCTAGGAAATATCTGGTTCAAACAGGATGGTGCCACGGCCCACATAGCCCGAGCTTCGATGACAGTTTTGAGGGCAAAGTTCCCGGATGGCTCATCTCGCTTTGAGGTGACATCCCGTGGGAAGCGCACTCATCTGATGTAACACCCTTTGATTTTTTTTATGGGGATACCTCAAGGCAGAGGTTTTTAAACATCGCCCCCCCAAACCTGCTTCAGCTGAAGAATGTTATTTGGCAGGAAGTAGCCCAAATTCCAGTGCACATGTTGGAACATGCAGAGGGGAACTTCAGAAAACGGTTGCATCAGTGCATAGAGAACGGTGGCCACCACCTTCAAGATATTTTGTTTAAAACTACATGATTTAGAATTTTAATGTATGTTTCTTCATTAGCTAAACATAAATTTTGTCTATCAGCAATAATTTTTCTTTTATTTGTCTTCAAAAAAAGGAAGTTTGTGTGCCCCACCCTGTACAAGGAAAACATGAGTACTCACTATTCAACCACAACGCTCAATAGTAACGGATGGATACAAAGCCAATTCAGTTACAATGGTTATCCACAACTGTCAACGTATCAAAGTATTCAAAACTTAAAAACTAAACCTAAACTAACTTCACCTATAACTTAATGGTTATACAGCCATGACTTCGATTCTTGAATGAGGTCATGACAGATCCACCTCACCTTACAAAAAGTTTACACATTATGCCCTGGTCATCAGAGCTTACTCATGAAAACTGGTTGCAACTTGTGAAGATGAGTTGGCAGTAAGGTGGGAGGAGCTTCATACTGTGTACCCTATTGCACAGAAGCAGAAATATTTATATACGATATATATATCAAGATTATAAAAGCACATGGTGTACAATTAACAGGAGCATTTCAGAAAATTAATTATATAGGAACATAATTTAACCTCCAATGAGTTCGTCTTTTACATCAAACAAACATTCAATCCACAGACACTACTGTTGTGCGACATTTGCTCAAACTGGCAAAATGTCAAAACTCCATACAGAGTGAATAAACATTCAGCATTAAAGTTTCAGTATTCACTATTACAGTAAATAATTAACAAAACTTAAATACATATAAAGTATTTAATATATGCTTTGAAGTTGTATTGTAATAGAGAAATACGTTAAAAAAAAAAAGATTTTAATTCACTTTAACTTAATATAGGCTTTCTTTTTTAATTAAATTTGATTGTGCTAAGGGGATCATGGTTGAATTTTAAATAGCAAGTTCAGGGTGCTGAGGAGAATATTTGGACTATAACTTATAATCTTTGCCCAGTTGTCATTCCATGTGAAGTCATCCAGAGAGGTCGGTCTCCAGTTTTAAGAAAAAATTCATATTTTGTACTTATTACTACATATTTTCACACTTCAAAAATATTTAAAAAAAATCGTAATCCGCTCGGTTCTCCCAGTACAGCTGTTCTTATAATGCGAAAAAACGCGTTTTTGGCTCAAATGGAGGTTTGCATTATCTTCTGTATCTCGATAACTGTTGAAGCTAGAGACTCCAATAAGAAACCAATTTATTCCTCATGATATGAACTGCAAATCATGTCATTATAAGTTTTTACTCAACTCACTTCTTCTAGGTGTAATTAAGCCTGAAACGTACCTATTGATTTTGGGAAAAACGCTATTTTTGACCTTCAGAAACCAATGGGAAGGGGAAAGTATCAGATCTGTGGTTTCTATCCTTTGTTGTTACGTACATGAGGAATATAATCACGTAGTTTTGAATCCCGTACCTATTTTCCAAAATTATCCAGGAGCTTCCAAACTTTGCTCTGGGCCTGAAATCGGCCATTTATAGCATCTCATATCTCCGGTGGGGAAGCTCCGAGAATTTTGAAACTCATGGCAAATAATGTCCTATTCTAGAGTAACACGGTGTTAAAATTATAATTTGATATTTAACTAATAGGGAAGTCTTTATAATGCGAAAAAACGCGTTTTTGGCTTAAATGGAGGTTTGCGTTATCTCCCACATCTCGATCACTATTGCAGCTAGAGACTCCAATAGGAAACCAATTTGTTCCTTATGATATAAAAACGGCTGTACCGGGAGAACTGAGCGGACTACAATTTTTTTAAAAATATCTTTGAAGTGTGAAAATATGTAGAAATAAGTGTATAAAATATGAATTTTTTAAAAAAGGTGAGCGACCTCTCTGGATGACTTCACACGGAATGACCCCAAGTATAATTAGAATGATCAAGTCAAGGAGGATGACATGGACAGGGCATGCAGCACACATGAGGGAGAAAAGGAATTCATATAGAAAGCCAAAAGGAAGTGACCACTAGGATGTAGGCGGGTGGTTAATATTAAAAAGGATCTTACAGAGGTAGGACGGGGTGGTATGGACTGGATCGAGCTGGTTCCAAATAGGGACCAATGGCGACTCTTGTGAACATGGTAATGAACCTTCAGGTTCCATAAAATGTTGTGAATTCCTGGAATGGACGATTGACTGGTGGCTTCTCAAGAAGGGTTAAACTCCATGGAGTTAAGTTTAGAATGCACTCATAAGATCCCTTTTGTTTAATTATCTGTAATACTGAGAGACATGTTGAGAGTGTAGTGCACATAAAATGTGTTTTTCACTTTTCTCTACATCTTTTGTTTAAGCCGCCTGCAACCAAACAAACAAACTCCATGGCTTTAGACCGCAAGTGAATTATACTGCCCAAGCAATCGCCGCTTGTCGGAAATGTTAGAGTCAACTTTAGTGGACAGAGGGTGTTGTGTGGTGAGCGCAATGAATCCTTATGGCTGCTAAATTTTGGTTTTCTAGACTGGATTAAGCCACCTTCTCTCTGATAAATATTTTGCTAGCTATGATCAAGATACATTCAGAAACACAGGTAAGTCTTTACATAAAATGGCTTCGTAATTTTTACTTTCCCTCCGATAATGAAATCAAGTAGGATGAAGTTGGCTGAGTAACTAGCATGAATGCAAGAAAAACAAAACTTTCACACAAGTCTTGTCAGTAAGAAGACATTTCAAAACAGAAGCAGCATACTTGGGAAGATAATATTAAAAGGGACCTTAGTAAAACAGCTTGTGAACTGGCTCAAAAACTGTACAATGATTATTGATTATGAAAAGCACAGTGATAAACTTTCCATAGGAGGAAATTTCTTGATCGGATACATAACTAAGAAATACTCAAGGAAGGCCTCTACCATGGAGTTCATCAACTGGTTATGCTCTTGTGAAATTCCAATTTTTGAGCTTTACAAAATTTCTCCTGTTTGACAGATGATAAGTTTATTGTAACTTAATGGATTACCGTGGCAACACAACTTTATCTTCTGGACTTAGAACGGCATGATCATTAAAATTCTGGAACTTCTTATCGCGGGGGGGAAAACGAAATGGCTCACTACCAAAGTTGAAGCGGCACTGTTGAAAGGACATGAAACTTGCTGCTGCAAAGAAACCAGACCTGAAACAAACAGATGGAGGATCTGACCATTATAGGTTTTATTATGTACAGACATGGGGAAGAAATATAAACTGACACCACTGTACATTTATTATGGATTTCATAACCTCTTTATTAAGTCTTACCATAACTCAGTAACCATTCTGCATAAATACTGTGAAATGAATTCAAATACTTCTGTGTTGAATCATACGTGTGTGGCTGCAGAACCAAGGGACTTGCCTCTATCAGACAAATTAGTGAAAAATTAAAGCATCAAGAAATCATTTAATTTACTAACATATCTCATTACAAAACAGGATAAAACAGACAACTTGACCAGTAACCTTGAGAATGATATTGTCACGTATTGGGTGTATAACGCGACAAATAACTTTGATATAGCGAATTTTATTTCGCATTCGCACTTACAATCACTCAAATTAGAGATTCGCGATTACTGCTACCTGCAGTATCACAAATACTACACTGCAAATGCCAGAGTACAACTGGCTAACTCGGAACTCTCTTGGAACTAACTCGTAAGTAGCTGCCTTGAGAACTGTTGATAACACACTCGCTTGACTACTACTGAACTGGCGATGTCCACATTTCAACTAACTCACAGCCGCTGTGCAGTTCCCTTATATAGCCGCAGTGCTTGCCTGTTGCGTAATGAGTGCCATGTCATCCTGTTACGTCACCGCGCGTTGCACGTTACGTTACCGTGCGGAGGGGGGGAGGGGAGCGCTGACTCACCCGCCGCGTCACTGCTGGTGGGGGGGTTCTCCTTTGCGCAACATGTCACAATATTTTATACAACCTGCAGCACTAAGACTAGCAGTAAAGCAGTTAAACATTCACTTCAAACTGAATACGAAAGCAGTTCTTACCGGGCCGTTTTGAAGATACGTGTGCAGGGACACAGGGGAGAACCATTAATGTAGAATATCACCTCCAGTTTATTTAGGTCTAGCAGACATCCTAATACATCTCCAGGATGCCAGCACTGTCGACTCTGAGCTTCATTATGTGCGTTGTGCCAAATGAGACGGCGACAACCATCATAAGCTAGTGAAAATTCATCGTCTCCTATTCCATAGCCTTCCTGTAGTAATGGAAATTATTACTTGTCATGTGCAGATAAAGGTAAAATTACCCTTTTGCCCAAGCAGAGGAAAGAGAGGGTATCAGATGGTAAAACTCCAGTCAGCTTCACACTCCAGCTGCAATACCTCAAGCATACAAGGCCCAAGCTCTATTAATATCAACCTCAGTGTCTTAAGTTTTATGAAGCTGTGAAACTATTGAGATTTCAAAATGATACTTCTCTTTACCCTCTACCTCATTTAATTTCTTGAGACTGAACCTCTCCATACAAAATCTGAGTGTTGTTTGTTTACTCACTGCCAGTCTCTCCCTAACTTTTGCCACCACGAGACAGTGGTCAGTATCACAATCTGCTGCCCTGAACAATCAGGCATCAAGTATACTTGAGTGCCGTCAGCTATCAAAATATTGCCAATTTGGTTGTGCATCTTTCCATCAGGAGATGTCCAAGTAAATTTATGAATGTTACGATGTGGGGCAAGGTTTACTACTCTAACTCCATTATCAATACTAATTTTGTATAAACTCTAATATGAAACTCTACATGCTTCCAAACATTTGTGTGTGTGGAACAACAAGAATAACATTCTCTGGGGAAATACAGAAGAAAATACTTCTAATTTTAAAAATTAGATGTCATATCAAATCTATACTTACATAGCAATGTTGCACTTTTTAAAGTAAGTAAATAAAACTATGTGAGATGTGACACCATATAGACTGGCAGATATTTACTAAATGTTTATATCCCATTGGCACTCCTGGGCTCTTTATAGGGCCGTCTATGCAACTTTCCTGGTTTCCTGTCCCTCCTGGCACAGATAAGGCACCAGGCTCCACTCTAGTCTCAGAGTCCCTTCTGACATGCATGCGCGCGTGAGCACGCACACACACAGAAGCTCACCAACCTACACACTCTGACTCTGAAGATGGAGACAGCATGTACCTCCAAAACGCTGGCAACATCACTCAGATCCACATGGTATAATAACCCAAGAACAGAATCAACAAAATGGTATCTCTGTAAACAATATGCTACACAGGAAGGTTTACGTGATAGAAAAAGATTGCTCACATGGTTCAGAAATGTGCTTTCCTTAGTTGCCCAGCCTATCTGCATTACACCAGGTGTGATTACTACTGTCTCATAGTACCACACACCAGAGTTCACTTGGAATGTGCATCGGACGCTCTCGAAGGAATAAGCATCGCACCTTGCCTAAAACATAGTCAAATCAGGTAAGAAAAACAGATGGTCCTGTTGACAGAGTGCACTGTTCAAGAATGAGAGCCTCAAATGGAAGTTATAAAACAATCTGCTAAAATTGACTCGTGTACACAGCCACAGAATATGAAAGTACTCTGCGTGCTTGATTCACCAATTTCTTCCAGGTAATTTTACGCTTATAACATCTTTAATATGAATCCAAATCCCTGTAATATTCCTTTTATCATGGAAACAGGAAAAGGGGTGGAGCTGTGGCTGTGGTAGAGTACATTCCTCATTAGCCACGCTAGTAAACAGAAGGAAAGATGTATGAATTATAACAGAGCATGGATAATCCAAGGTACTGCTCAATACAGAAATTTGGAAAACTTGAACACTTTAAACACGATAACACTGGAGAAAAACGTGTTTTTCTCCATGATGTTTGCCCAATATATATTTTGCTGGCAAATATTTAGCAAGATACAAGTAGTAACACACGTAGGTCTTCAGGTAAAATGGTTGTCAAAATTGTCTGATCTGAACAAAAACTGAGATGGCTGGACTATTCGTCATAAAATTCCCTGGTATCAAATTTAGTGGAAATCCATTTGGTGGTTCTCAACCTATTCCATACAGACACACAGACAAAAGGAACTTCGTGGAAGCTCTGGCTGGGTTGTAAACATACCTAAAAAGGGCTCATGGCCTAGCCAGAAACTGGATAATCTGCATATGGGTAACTGCAAATATAGTGTAGTATAAACATAATTCCTGGTAGCCTCTAAACAACAAATGAATATCATGTTACATTAGACATGCAAAAATCAGAAGGAATATGTTTGAAAAATATGTTATGTTCTAATAGCTTCTCATTCGTTTGTAGCCCAACAGGGGAGGCAGCTGAACCACACTAATCTTGTGAACTTACCTCTAACCCATTTGGAGATATTTTCAGGTATTCACTGACATCCTTCGTGTTAAGCATGACATTTATTCCAGAAGTATCAACACATTCATAAGAAAACTTGCGACCTTCAACTAGAACTGAAAAGAGAAATCATTAATTAAAAAGAAAGAAACTGATATATGATTTGGAACGGCTGACTTTTTGGACTTTGTCCATCTTCTGGTATTCCAGAAAACTAGAAAACATCATGTTCTAAAGAATACAAGACAATGAACAAACTCCAAAAACTCAGAAATTCCAGAAATGTCATACACCATGATCAGAACCCTTTAGAATCTACACGATGTATGTTCCTAACCATACCAATAATTACCTCATAATTTCCAATAATAGTATAAGAAGTCTGTAAAAGCATACAGTGTAAACTTAACAGGTGCATACACAGTGTGTCCAGGATCCATTAGGACTCATTTTTTTAAATTTTGCCCTGCAATGCCATCTGTTGGCGAGTTGTGGCGTTAAGATTCTTGAAGTTTCAGCTGTGGCTCTCTATAATTTCAAAGCGCAAGCATCGCTGCATCATGTGTTCTGACCTTGAATGTAACAGTACTGTTCTGACACTCATCGGAAAATGGCAGTTGAACAGAGAACCAACATCAAATTTTGTTTGAAGTTAGGCAAAACAGCGGACATTGAAGATGCTCCACGTGCATCAAAGCTGAGAACAAGGAGCACTGAAGAAAATGTGAAAAAAGTGACCGAAATCCTTGTCAGACAGATGTGTTTCTGCAAGACTCATCGAGGAGCATTTGGGAATACCAAAAAGTACTGTGCATCACATTTTGACTGAGGGTTTGGGCAAATGGAAGGTCTGTGCACGGTTTGTACCGCACGCGCTGTCAAGCGATGAAAAACATGCCAGAGTGGAACACTGCAAAGACATGTTATGGTCGGCCCAAATAGATACAAAATTTACAAAATCAATTGTTACTGGTGATGAGACATGGTGTTTTCAATATGAGCCTCTCACAAAGTGGCAGAGTGCAGTGTGGTTGAGCTCAAAGAAGCCGAAACCAAAGAAAGTGAGCATGAAAAAGAGTTGAGTAAGGACACTGCTAACCTTTTTCTTCAATTCCAAAGGAATCATTCATAAGGAATTTCTGCCAGAAGGTCAAACAGCGAACTCTGATTATCATCTCAGAGTCCTCAATCGTCTGTGGGCAAGAATTCTTTGAATTCGACCAGAATATCGAGAGCAAGGTTCCTGGTCACTCCTCCACCCCACAAATCGAAGATCGTGTGTGATTTTTTGGCCAGAAAAGGGATCACAGTCCTTGATCATCCTCCATATTCGCCAAATTTGGCTCCAGCAGATTTCTGTTTGTTCCCAAAAGTTAAGTTGGCAATGAAAGGAGACCATCACGACACCATCCAGGACATCTAAAGGGAATCTACCGCAGTTTTAAATATGATTCCACAAAAGGAGTACAGTGAGTGTTTTCGAAAACTTTTCAATTGATTCCAGCTATGTATTGATTCAGGAGATTATTTTGAATAAACAGGGTGAAATTTTGAAAATAATTCACGTCTTGTATTTTTAATGAACATAGTCCTAACAGAACCTGGACACACTGTGTATACCAGACGGAAACTACAAATGACATGCCAACATTCATGTTCAAGCTCAGATGTGTGATCTAATGAAGAGTTACTCATATAAGCTTAAAATGGTACACATATTCTTAAATAAAATATTTTGATTATTGTGACATGATGCGTGGAGCCAGAGGAGACGTCCTATGCTAGGCAACAGCTCGGTAAACAAGTTTCCATGCCAACGGATACGCAAGCAACAAGAGAGGAATTGTTCGGAATGATGTTTTCTGTTTGGTTCATTCAAAGTGGTTATAAAAATTGGGAGCTAGTGCACTGGAGTTCAGGTAACAGTTGGGCTGTGAACAGAAGACTTCACATGTACTGTAGTACTGTGATATATGGAGTGTGTAATTCAGTGAGACTGTTGCAGTTCCTGTGTTAAAATCTGTTGCCAAAAAATGGATCATGGAGACTAACAGGCTTGGGGACACTTGTGTTAACAGTGAACTGTAAAGTGTTGAAACAGTGACAGTGTTAATAGTTGTTTGTGGAACAACCTGTAAGTGGTCAATACAGCAAATAATCCAAAACCCTGTCTACAGTCACACCCTTAAATCATGACAATATATTTATATAAACACATGCCTATAAATTCAGCTGGGAGCAAGCTCCTTTAATTACTATTCAGAATAAGAGATTTTGATAACCTCATACAAAAACAAAAAAACAAACTCCATGGAGCAAGCGAACTATACCGACTGACTGAGCGACCGCTGCTTGTCGGCGAAGTTAGTGTCAACTTTAGCGGATAGAGGGTGTCGCATTGTCAGCACAATGAATACCCATGGCCGTTAATTTTGGTTTTCTAGACTGGAGCTGCTAGTTCCATGAAATAGCTCCTCAATTATCCTCACGAGGCTGAGTGGACCCTGTTCCAGACCTACTTCTCAGAAAAAATCTGGTAGTGACAGGAATCGAACCTGGACCTCTGGATCTGTAGCCAGGAACTCTGACCACTAGATCACAGACAGTCTTAGTAACCTCATACATGCATCAAAAACCATTTTTGATTGTATGACAATCTTTGCATGTGTGGAGAGCTGTACTGGGTATAATACATATCTTTTTTGTTTTTCTCTCCAACTTCTGTTTGAAACATATTTTGCTTAAAAAATCAAGTTATGCTTAAGATACATGCAGAAATGGATTTTCCTCCCCTTGCTGCCATCGCGCCTTATTAAATACACATATTACAGCATATATAATGTAGCGTGTACACCAGCTACTGGGTAAAAACCTAAAACAAACAACGAAACAACATTTGCTACTAGGAAACAGATTCTTAATAAGCAAATATACAACAAAAACTGCTGAGTAACAGTTTCTCAAACATGTTCCCATGGAAACAACTGAACAGCAACAGAGGAATGGTGTTTTCTGTGCAGTCTGTGCCAAGATGTTATAACACAGTCATTTGTAAGGACAGTATTCAGTTGTATGGGAGTCTGCGAAGCGAAGACTTGGTCAATGCAGTTGAAGAATCTCCACTGTTAAGATCTGTTACTGGGGAACACCTAGTGAAGACACTGCAGGATGGAAAAGACTTAGCATGTGCAGTAGTGAGTTGTAAAGTGTAGAAAGCAGCAATGGCACTATAATTAAGTGTAGTCATGAGTCATCTGTTAAAGTGGTCAATAAATCCAATCTCCAATCCAAAACCCTGTCGAAAGTCACACATACAAATAACAATAATTTTAGCTACAAAAAGCAATGTTACATAACCAAGAACAAAATATCACATATTGTGAAGTCAGTCACTCTAATTTATATTAAGAATGATGATTCAGGAAATCTTAGCTGAACTGGCATTTCATATCGCACATAACAAATGACTTAACTAGAAGTGTGGAACTGAGGAAAGTCTTGCCAAAAATTTGCCATACTGGTTACAATGCTGTCCAATATTGTTAAGACCATATTTTAATATTCAATTAACAGCCTATGCCCTTCATATCTTTCTTATAATTAATTTTTTATAAAATATGCACTATGCACTGTGGAAAAGTTATTCACAAAAGAAACAATTACAGAACATAAAACTTACACAAATTATCGAGGCACCATTGTGCACAGAAGCCCACCTGCCGCTTGACATAATGCTCTGAGTCCACCCATTTCTCCAAACACATGAGGGGATTTGTTGGTTCCGCCTCCAAACGCTTCTTAATTGTTACTTTGTTCTCACCTGTGTTGAGGAAACATTAAGTATACTGCCTCAGCTATGATATGAAACAAACTCAATACCAGAGTTCAGTGGTTAGTACTCTTGCCTTGCAGCCAGGAAATACTCTGTTCAAATCCCTGGAGACCAAAGATCTCAACTGACGTTTTTGTGGTTTCTCTCAACCCATACGGGGAAAATGCCTCAAATTAAGCTATGACCACTTTAATATAAAAAATAAAATTTCAGTTGACACTTGGGATTATAAAGACAATATGAAACAGCAACAACAAGACAGAAAATTGACTATAAGTAATATCAATTTGATTGAAGCCTATATCAACTGTCAGAATAAAATACATTAATCATTAGGGAAAAATTATATCCATATGACATGAGAATGCAACATGACAAAAAGCTGAAAGACACAGGTCAAATTAATAACAACTGGTGATCCAATAGGCATCATAACAATGAAGACAGTGGCATATGTAGCAGGACAGAATTTCAAAGAGTGCACAAAGTCACTGAAACACAGGTCTATTTATCTGCAACTTCTGCAGACAACAGCAGACACAATTCTCAGAGTGAAATTGCACTAATATGTTTTTATGAAAAACAGGCGTTTCAAACAAGCTGTTCAAACAAAATATTACCCTTGAATTCTTGTGCAATGTCTATGTTCTGTGTTGAAGTAACTTTCTGCAGATTTACTAATTACACTTATGACTGACCATTTACACGGTGAAGATCACTGCCTACCGGGATGTGACACCACAGTCTGGTAGACAATCAACAATACTTTAAAAAAATATGATGCCTCCATCTTCTACCCTGTAGATGGATGCGACACTACCTTCTGACATGTCGATAAACGTCTACCAGACCACACAGCGTCACAACTGACATGACAGTTATCTTCTTAATCACCGCCATGAGAACCTCAACCTCACATTTGCACTTTTTTTTTCTGTTGTGTACAAAATTGTTTAGATTTAAAAGGCTTTTATAAACATTCTGCAGTCAGTTGGCACTGAGCTCAATATTGATAAGTTACTGAATATACTGACTGAGGTTCTCCATGATTTTCTTCACTCCTTTCAGGCGGGGACAGTGCCTTGAAATACAATGCATCTTTTCCTTCCAAACATTTAACTACAATTCATGATCATCTTCCAAGCTTACTCAATGTTACATGACCCCTGCAGTTAACACAGCATCATTAAATAACATAAGAATCAGTCATAATCTTACTGAATCCACATCAGATATACTTACTTGTCTGTGCGAATTTTTCTAATGCAATCACAGAAAACAGGATCACAGATGGGTTGTTATCTGTATTCTGGAAGCAACAAGAAAAACGTTGTTATGTTTTTGTAAGGAGTTAAGGTCATGTAAATGTAAAGAAATCAGAACATAGACCGTTTCAAAATCAATAATATGAGGAAAGACACAGCAGTATTACAGCCCCTTAACTATTTCCTTGCCAAGCCAGTTAGGCAGATCCTGTTAGACACGCAACAACCCAATCTGATTAACGCTTACATGCCTATTTTCTGTTGTGTGTAATGTTATCGACCTATAAGACAGGGATTTGTATTTTTACTTTCACTAAGAACTGGTTATATATTCACATATGAAAAAACACACAAGAAAATAAAATGTTTTTCAACAGTTTCTAGGAAAATATGACTTCTGGTAAATGTGCCATATCTCAAACTCAGTTATCCATATACCACAGGCCATTAACCCTTTTTCTCCTAATACACTGCAGAAAGCTAAGTGTAAACATTTCTGTCAACAGAAAGCATTGGTAAACAAAACAAATATCTGGGAAACGGTCCATTACTTTGAATCTTTCCTAAGATGGCGTTTTGGACACTGGATGCTTCTATCATCAGGTGTAAGGGAGGATGGTTTTGTATTCAGTTGGCCCACCAGGAAGAGTCAACCGCCATCACTGATCTCCAGTACAGGACTCAAGATAACTGATAATGTTCAAAATAAGTCACATTTACTGGACCACACAGAAGTCAGTATGTCTGTTCATATTCAAATGACAGCATATTGTCACACTCGGCCCATAAAAAGACCTCCCAAAGGTGTCTCCACCTTGTGGTGGTGGTGGGGCTTGCGTGACTCTGTGACCTGGAGAGCTATGCCGGAAGTAGCTTAACTACCAGTAGGGTCACTCATTCTGGAAAGGTCAAAGGGTAGAGTCCAAACTAAGAGTGATACCCTGGTCCTCCAGGTTGGGGGTTCGTCATGAGGCTAACAACCTCATCCTGTAAAAAGAACTTTGTTCATAAACCTAATAACCAGCCTTGGGTCATCATGCATGGATCCACTCCTATGGCAGCACGCACTGATTGTGGAGACTGGTTGTAGAGTAGGCCAAGGCTCACCCAGAGCTGTAGCACTGAGTGGTAGGTACATCACCCATAAAAAGAAAGAGACTGTTGTTTCTTAAATCATAGGTACTTCATGAATAATTTGTAGATGTGCACAACACACACGATTGAGAGGAAACACTACTGTGAGATAATAACCCATTGAGGACAAGTGTTGCGTTAGTGCATTCTGCCCAAGAATTTGATGTAAGCCTGCCATTGCAACATAAGATCATGAAGCATGCAAAGTATCCTCAGACCAGCAAACAGCCTCACTTGTGAAAGGTGTCATAATAAAAATGAGACAGCCTCAAACATACTATATTACCACGAGGTTCTAGTAAATTTCAGAGACTTAATTTCATCTGAAGCATAGGACTGCTAGAGGGTTAACTTAGGATGGAGACAAACAAAAGATCAAAGCCAGTCATGGTGTAAGGGTCTGTATGGCTCAACCCATTAAGTTAAAACATCTGGATTCTATATCAGTTTTAATATTATATTTGAGTTATGTTAACTAACTCCATGCATCAGGTTTATGTAAATTTTAAATTCTGATTTATATTAATTAAATCCCTGGAATACAGTTCTTCTTGAGAAGCTGACAGTTCCTCAATCAGTCAATAAATACTGTGCCTTTTATGGAACCCATAGATCTACTGCCATGGTTACAAGGGCACACCACTGAGTAAATTCTCTGCTTTTAAGAGGGTCCATACTTTTCTATGCAGCATGCAGACTCAGGAAAAATTCACTAGACTCCATGGCCTGTAGCCTGCAAGCAAACTACACCAACTGAGCAACCACCACTTGTCAGTGAAGTTAGTGCCAACTTCTGTCGATAGAGGGTGTCACGTGGTCGGTGCAACAGATCCCCACGGCCATTAATATAGGTTTTATAAATTCACTAAGTTATCATTATGGTCATGCCATAGCTCAAGTTGTTAGTCGCTGGCTTCCCACCGCAGCAGCCCAGGTTCGATCCTGGGTCTGGTCAAGTGGGATCTGTGGTGGACAAAGTGGCGCCGGGGCAGGTTTCCTCCGAGTACTTCGGTTTCCCTTGTCAATCTTCATTCCACCAACTGCTCCACAGTCACCCTCACCTACCATCCGGGGCTGGTACAATAGGCCAGAAGTGGCTGCAGTACAAGGGACTTAGTCCCACCCCACTAGCAATAAAAAAAAGTTATCATTAATGATAATTGAGACGACAACTCTTCACAACTTAGAAAAGAGACCAAACTTCTGCGACTCTGTGACAGACATTACTGGACACATTTGTTGCAGGGAACTGAAATATAAAGTGTAATAATGAAAGGTAAGATTAGCAGTCACCAATCATTTTCTCTTACTTTACATTTCCTTCCTCTTTTATTCCTTAAATGCATTAATTTTAGCTCAAACTTGTACAGTCATCCTGAACAGTGTATATATCTGATTCCCAAAATGTTCATGACCTCTTTACTTTGGAATTTAGCTCACACTTTTACAAAATTCACACTCAGATACTGGTAAAATACTTTTCTTTTTAAATTGTGGCCAGGAGCAACAAACAGGATGAACAATCAATCACTAACTTAGCAGCAAAATGATACTACTTTTCACTGCTAACGTACTACAGAGCAGCCATATTTTACAAGCCATGCCTAGGGTGCAAAATAAATTACAAGATTTGTGATGAGATAATTAAGTGTCCCTTGTGTAAGAATGGCAATGCTGTTTGGTCCAGCTAGCTTTTCTGCTATGCAGCCAAGCACCACACAGATGTTACGCTGTTGAGTTGGTTTTGACTTTCCTTTCACTGAGCTCTGGGCTGACAAATTGAAGATACTTGAGAGCCTCAGAACAGATTCCTGAAACAGAGAACAAGAGTAATAAACTCGGAATTATTGGGTTTTTGGACTTTGCCCATTATCCAGTATTCTAAAAATCAAGGAACACATTTCGAAAACTGGTCTGTTTCTGTCAAGTGAGGGGGTTGATGACACCTATGTTGGGTCCCTTAGAAAGAGCTAACTCTACACCTATATAAATACCTCAGGTATTTATACAGCTGTAGTTATACCGACACAGGTTGTCCGGTGACTGAGGTTAGCTGTTTCTAAGGGACCCAACAGAGAGTCTCTCAAGGCCTCGCCATAGCTCAAGCAGTTAATCGCTGGCTTCCCACTGCGGCAGCCCGGGTTCGATCCTGGGTCTGGTCAAATGGGATTTGTCACTGGGGCGGGTTTTCTCTGAGTACTACGGTTTCCCTTGCCAATCTTCATTCCACCATATTCTCCATCACCATAATCACCCGGGGCAGGCTAGAATAGGCCAATCAGTGGCCGCCATGCCGAGTGCACCCAGTTCGACTCCACCCCCCCCCACCTCCTCACCTGAGGAGAGAAACAGATCCAGTTTCCAGATCGTTGTTTTTTCTAGTTTCTAGAATATCAGACAATAGACAAAGTTTGAAAACCCAGTAATTCTGAGTGTTATACACTATCGTCAGAACCCTTCAGAATTTAAGAGTATTAAGCACAGAGCAGTTAGACACACACCGTAAACACAAATTTAAATCATAAAAACACTTCTGTGTTTAACCTATATGGTATGTTTACAGGGCTATTCATTCATTCATTCATTTACATTCCATGGATCCTTACATGGCTGGAAGACCAGTGGATATAGAAATAGTCAAAGACAACAGGACAAATCCCATCAATTATATAAATATAAATTAATTATATTTAATCCATAACAATTACACATATTATCCATGACAAATCACAATGAGTAAATCATTAAAAACAGAACATAATAATATGACACAAGACTACAACAATTAAACACAAAAATGTACTACTAGGCATCCAGTGAATAAATGACCAAGATCGTTAATGGGCTCACTTTAGTTGGCAGAGGGCAGTCATCAAGCAGTAAAGTGATCACAGCTGGACCAAGTGGATCATTCATTGGAATAACTTTCACCATAGAGCTCACCACCTGAATCCAACCATCTTCCTTATCAGCAATAACATGTAACTGCAACATGGCAGGTGGGGGCTCCTGCTCACTGAAACACAGAAAAACATATGTCCACAAACTTAGCAAGAAAAATGACAGATTGAATAAGACGAACAAAACTTAATAATTTCAATTTCAAACAACTGCTGGAATTTGAAAACAAAGTGGTCGAGAACATATCTGGATGATGAATGAATGGATGGCTGGGTGAAATGTTTAAATATGATTAAAATCTATTGGTTATCTGCTGACACATTAAACAAATCAAACTGAAGGTTAATATGAGGACATAATTTGGCTAAACTTGGTAGCTGCATTCTATCTGCATCAGCGAGCCAAAAAGGAAGGACACATCACACAGTACACACAGAAACGACTCCCATAGTGGACGAACCATACTATACACGAGTTTGAATTTAGACATACAGATGAATAATCTTAACAAGTTTTAGTATATACAAATTTTATTATAGTTGACGAATAATGTACTTTCTAAATAATTTTATGAAAGACATAAGATGGCAAACAATGTAATAGCTTAGCATAAATAACGAACCTGAAGATGGCACTATGTTGCCGAAACATGTAGTAAGAAGTGACATATGAAACTGAGTGGACTACAAGATGGCCATTACATATGTATCATGGATGCTAATCATTACACTATGATGTTTCCGGTTTTCTACAGCAAATGCACTCTATCATCATATAATAACACACGTAAGTGAGCCTGTGGTAAGTGGATTGATCACAGTGTGGCAAACAAGCAATTAATCTATCTACACATTCCCAATTCTTGATAGAGACCATGGCACAGTTCACTTTTAGATAGGATTACTACTGTATTCAATTGCTCATACCACCATGAAATCTGCATTGTCCACTATGATGACATCACGTGTTTGTTATTAAATGACGAAAATACAGGATGGAACTCAGATTTTAGTGGTGTTGTAGATATTTTTTACTTCATATTGACTCCATGCACATTCAAATCTTGGGTTAGTCTGTATTTTGCAACCAGTCACCATTTTAGAAATCATTACTAACTCTAATCATATACTTACTTCTCAATTAAAGTTCCTATTATACTCAGAGTATCCAGTATCAGCCGATCAACAGTAGAATACGAAGGCAATTTCTGACATGGACCACTGGATGATGCAGCAACATAACAGTCCAGGCATTCATTCGCTGGCACATGGGCAGAGATAGAATGAACAGTTGTCCCATTATGTGTACCAGTTGTTATATCAGTTTCCGATTGCTGTTCTTTGCAAAGACATGTGCCCATAATAATTACCACGCACTTTCACAGACACAACTCTTGAAAAACTAAGGTAACAAGGTACATACGTTTTAATATCTGCAATCAATTCAGCTACATCCCTTTTCCTCCTTTTCCCCTATGCTTCATAATCAAGTATCGAACGTACACTATATTTTCTTATTTGGACTGTTAAGCATACTACGTTCAGAGATTGTTCTATTTTACTTGCCTCGTCACCTTGCTTCAATACAGACTTGTAAACACACACTTTCAACGCTTCCATCGAACTAAATTATACCACACAATTTGAGAGACATCATACGCCTGCATGAGGTACGCCCTACCCAAATATTAATCGCACAATTCCCTGAACTAAATACATAAATTCCCTCCATAATTTCAGAGAGGGAAATCTGTGCCGAACTTGATTTGTCTACTGGCATAAACATTATTGCCGGGTGCACACCAAGGACACTGGAAACCGCAACGCAACCGCGATTTACGAGAAGAATCGCCGATTTCAAGCAGACAACTGGTTTCCAAATTAGCAGGCGCACACTGAGGAAACTTACGTTCGATTAGTTGCTCAAAACATCTCAAGTGGGTGTGTTTCCCCCCCAATTTCCTGCACTTCTGTTCTGCAATGTCAGATAATAATATTGTTCGTGTAATGATATGGTCCCCCGCGTTGGTGTCTCCACCTTATCGTGGTGAGGGGGTTTGAGTATGCCAAGGACCCTGAGAGCTATACCAGCGGTAGCATAGCTACTGGCAGGGCCTCCCTTGCTGGACAGGTCAAAGGGTAGGCATCAGACGAAGAGAGACACCAAAAACCAAAACTGATGCCGGAAGCAGCATCATCAGCAGCGACTTGAAGCACAGAGCAAATGATGCTCGAGATCTCGAGATGGTTCAAGTTCGTATAGCAACAGGCATGAAAGTGTGGTTTGAACTGCTGTTGTACTGGGATGTGAAAAGCAAATGGAAAAACTACCACATTATCACTTTTCCTGGATAGTCTCTTTCCAAAAACAGAGATGCAATGTATGCGAGATGTTTCCTCTGGAGACAAAACAATCTGGAGGTAAACTACTCCCCCCAATTGGATCTCTGGGGGGGAGTGTTTCTAGAGGAAATGTCATGCAGGCGTTACAACAAGAAAAAGTGCGAAGATCAGAAGAAACAGCATGGATACAAGATTGGAACATGGAATGTCAGGACCTTGAATCAAGCAGGAAAATTGGAGAATTTGAAAACGGAAATGCAGAAGAATGAAGTGTCTGTTTTAGGTGTCAGCGAAGTGCGGTGGAAAGGACAAGGTGAAATAAGAAGTGGTGATTATACAGTGTATTATTCCGGAGGTGAACGGGCTGAAAGAGGTGTGGCAATAGTGGTGCATAAAAGTGTAGTGAGCAGTGTTGTTAAGAAGATTGCTTGTAATGACAGAATTATTGCTCTGAAGTTAAAGGCGGAACCGGTAGATATACTGATTATGCAAGTGTACATGCCAACATCAGAGTATGAAGATGATGAAGTAGAAAAAGTGTATGACACAATTGAAGAAATTCTTCAGGAAGATGGAAGAGGTGACACAAACAGCATCATATTGGGAGACTGGAATAGCATTGTTGGAGATGAACCATATCAGAATATTGTTGGATCACATGGACTAGGAAGATGGAATCACAGGGGTCAAATGCTTATTGACTTTTGTGAATGAAATGGACTGATTGTCACCAACACTTGGTTCAAGAAGCCAAAGAGAAGAATTTACACATGGAAGGCACCCGGGGATTGGAGGAGGCATCAGCTGGACTACATCCTTGTAAAACGTCGATTCAGAAAGAGTGTGAAGGATGTGAAGACGCTGCCTGGGGCAGATACTGACTCTGACCACAACTTACTGGTTGCCAAGTTCCGAACCAGGTTGAACAAAATTATAAAATGTCAAAAGCGCAGACCTAGATGGGATTTGGAGAAGTTATATGCTCAAATACAAAGCGTGCAGGAGACCCTAGAAGATAAACTCGGTGCAATTGAAGGTGAAAGCAGAAATGCTGAAGTGCAGTGGAACAATATAAAAGAATGCATGTTAGATACTATTAGTGAATTGGTTGGTAAAGTTGAGAAGATAGCAAGAAAACCATGGGTTACACAGATGGTGAGTAAAATGGAGGAGCGAAGGAAATGGAAGAATGTAAACAATGAAGAAGGCAGGAGGAAATACAGGAGACTGAGGAATAAATTGAAAAGAGCCACGGACAGGGCCAAAAAGTAATATATTGAGAAGATATGTAATGAGATTATAGAATTTCAAAGGACAGGATGTTATGATTTGATGTACATGAAGACAAAAGAACTAGGATGGAAAGAGAACCACGGGATTAAAATTATTGGCATCAAAGACTATCAGGGGAATAGAATAGTAGATCAGAGGCAAGTGCTGAAAATTTGGGCCAGAAACCTTGGAAGTGGAACCGGAAGAAGAAGTAGATACAGATGAGAAGGACCATATATTTTACAAAGTGTTATCAAGGACATGAGGAATGGAAAGGCTACAGGAGATGATGATGTACCTGGAGATTTGCTTAAGTTTCTGGGAGGTGGTGGTTTGAAAACAATGACAAAACTAATAAACACCATATATGAAACTGGGGAGTGGCCCAAGGACTTTACAGAAGTGACAATGATTGCCTTAAAGAAAAAGACAAAAGCTACAAAATGCAGCGACCATCGCACAATAAGCCTTATTGCACATACAGCAAAGATAATAGCAAAGATACTTAAAAGAAGAATTGAAAGGAAAATAGAGGAGAGGATATA